GATACATGGGGCAACTTTTTAGGTTAGAAGGGGTAGTATGCACTGGCCTGTCTAGACAGATATTGTCTTGACAAGAAGTTAAAGTGGATCATAAAGTGTCAGTTGCTGTATTTACATCCAGAGATGAGAAATGGGTGGGTGAGGGAAGAGAGGATGACACTACAGAGGAAAGATGGAAGGGTGAAAGGGAGCGTATAGGTTTTGCCTAAAAGTAATTGGTAGAGGAATTGGTGGCACACAGCCAGGTAGTAATATGTAGGTTAAATGTAATAAAGAAATGAGTAGAGATGTCTAGAGGTTTTACCGAATGTTGTCTGTAATACAATTGCATGTGTAAATTAAGTCAAGCTGGTTGCCTGATATGTTAGAGCTTGTGGTGGTAAGCCATTTGAGATCGAATGAAGCTAGGAGCGGAAGTGGAAGTCTGCAGTGTAAGGCTTCTCCAGATGGATTTCGAAGTCACCAAAGATTACAAGTGGCTACAAGTGGACTGCCATCCACAGAGAATGAAGACAGCAGACCATACAGCTCCTCTATAAAGGTGGCCAGTTGACCAGGAAGGCGATAAATCATGACAATATGGAGTTTAACAGGAGCTGTTACCATAATAGCATGAAACTCAAAATAATTTTATTGCATAGTGAAGAGTGGGTTGAGTATTTCCAATTATTAGAAATGAGAAGACCAGAAGATGAGATGAGAAGCCCCGCCAAAAGAGCCAATCGCTAATCGGTAAAGTCAGCGCATCACTGCAGCTGCCGTTAGAAGTCCCAGTTGCTATAGAAACAGTCAGCCCTCCGAGACGTGCGCTTAGGACTGCACATGCGCACTGGCTTATCTAGCCTGAAAAATAAGCTTTTTTAACACTATTTGAGCAAAATAAACAACATTTATGATACAGTTGTTGTCAGACTTCATTGGTGATTTCAAATATGAAATTTAATCGTAAGCTTGGCGAACAGTTTTGGAGAATTTGATGTTTCCCCATTCAAAGAGATAGGAGCTGCACTTGCATGCCCGAGAGGCATTTCAAAGATGGCCGCCGAGTGACATGACTTGCCTTAAAGGTACTTTGGCTATAGGCAGCCACACAGACACAAATGCACTGAAAGCTCTCTCCTCCACATCACGAGTAGACACGCCCCTTATTGCTGATTGGCTACAAGTTTGTTTTAATATTCGTCCCGAATCAGTTTTCTAAAGTGTTTTTGAAAAATGACATACCCTACCTTTAACCTTTAATCATGCTCCTTCTGTTACTGTTAAATAAAATAATTGTTTTAAAAAAAAAAATGGTGAGGTTGGTAGCTAGCTATGTGAAAAGACTGTATCAAATCTAGCTTCAGCAACATCTGCACCCTTTTAATTATCTTTCTTTCGTTGTAATTCTCTTCTGTCACTGTGGTTTCAGTGGAGTGCTCAATTTCAAAACAGAAGCTAATAAAATTTGTTTGACCATCGAAACTAGCCATTCTTTCCATTGAGAATACACAAAGCCTTAAATTAAACACCAAGGTCATTGTCATGAATTTGCTGAAAGAAAGGCCTAGAGAATTCAACCAAAATGAGTGAGCTGATTTTTTGTATTATTATTATTGCTTTTTTTTATTTATTTATTTTTTTTTTTTACTTCTTACTGCATTTTGGGCAACTGTGCCAAGATTGTGTTTGCATGCAGTAGTTTAGTAAATACAGCTGTGTTTTAGTACCACGTTAAAAAAAATACTAATAATAGTAATATTAAATCTAAAATTATGAGATTGAAGTCTAATATTTTACGAGAATAAATATTTTAAAGGGGTCATTGGATGCCCATTTTCCACAAGTTGATATAGTTGATTCTTTCTTTAGGGTCTTAATGAAAAGTCTATAACATACTTTGGTTAAAATGTATCAATGGTAGTGTAAAACAATACCCGTTTTACTCATAGACTGTATACCGTCACCCGTAGGTTCCTGAAGGGCGTTTTTGAAGCTCAAAGTGGTTCTTGCCTTATCGTTCCGCAGACGTTTTCCTCTTTTGTTTTTTATCCGCCATCTCTATCTTTTTGTCGCTTGGCTAATGTCCGTCCCATGCACTGAAAGCTCTCTCCTCCACATCACGAGTAGACACGCCCCTTATTGCTGATTGGCTACAAGTTTGTTTTAATATTCGTCCCGAATCAGTTTTCTAAAGTGTTTTTGAAAAATGACATACCCTACCTTTAACCTTTAAATGCTAATGAGCTCTGCTCACCCCGCCCCTCTCTTCCGTGGGGTGACAAGCAGTTCTCTGAGACTGTACACTTTAGCCGCATTTAGCCATGGAAATTGCTAACTAGTACATTATTAGGAAAGACGATTTGCAAAGATTTATATAAAAAAACCTTATACTCACTTTTTCTGTAGGTGAAGCTAGATCACAAATGATTCGCACAAACATAAACGCATTAGGGCAGATCAGGGGGCACATTCCCTTCAAAAACAAAAGTAATCCACTGCGTCTTCAGCAGCTCAGATGTCAGGAGTAAATGACGACTGCTATGTTCATTACTACATCCAACAACAGAACACCTCAATCGCTTAGTAGACATTCTTGTCTACTCCAGCTCCGGCGTCGAAACAATGGTGGACTGTTGACAGCTCACTCAGGGCGGGTCTAGGCTAAAACACCAGTGTCTATCAACAATCGTGGGAGCGGCTTGGGTGTGTGTGACGTCACACAGCCAGGAATCTGAGAATGGCTTGATCTGAGAAAGAGTTATGATTTTTGTGGAAAAAAAAAAAAAACACTGGTTGGATTTTTGTCATTATAGGGTGGTTGTGTACACACACTGCCGACACACATTTATGTTCAAACAACATGTAAAAGTGAATTTTGTATCCGATGACCCCTTTAATATTTTACGAGAAGAAAGCAATGTTATATATTGCATGATGAATCAATTGTGAAAATTCTACACCGCAAAAAAGTATATGCCTTTCATTATTCACATGTATTCAACATGAAAAACAGCAATAAAAATGTTCAAAAAGTTGAAGTAGGCTTCAACTCAGGTAACTAATTTATGAAAATAGCAATGTTGGCAAAGTTACATTGTTGGCCTTTCTGAGGTACATTTTCTGTTATGAGTGTTACGACAATTCACAAGCTATTATACTGACGTTTTTCGAAACATTGATTGATCGATTACACAAGACATTCATTTTATTAAGTTGTTTAGATATTTTTCGACATACCTGATATTCATTCATTTTTATTTTGTGCTGTAACTAGTAGAAAAGAGGAAAAGATGATTGATTCACCGCTTGAACTGAGGCGAATACAGTGATCTCTTGCACATTAAAGAGCGTAAAAACCACATTAATTGTTTGTATTTTGTGTTAAAATTTAATTTAAAGGCTGAGACTTTGTGTTATATTAAAAGTAACAAGCACAAAGCTTATTATTGGGTGGCTGATATGCTACTAACAATAAATGGAAATTGAACATTAAGTATTATTTCCAAGCATTTATACTGTCAATAAAACAGCTTGTGAATAGTCACGTAACGTTATTTACCTCAGAAAAGACAACAATAAGCTAACGTAAGTTAACCGAATTGGAGCCTTTAACCTATTTAACCTATCGGCTAATGTTTGGGGGGGGGGCATATGGGCCCAGGACTGACTTGCTATGCCACTGGTTGCAGCTGTTGCCTTATTCTATAAGTAGTCACAAAGACCCTAATAAAACACAAAACTAGTGACAAATCAGTCAGGAAGGATAATGAGTGGGCAGTTGTCTGTGGCCACCACCTGCAAAACCATTTCCTTTTTGTTGTCTTTCTGTTGCCTCTCTAGTCCTTTGGATGAGACGTTAAACCGAGGTCCTGACTCTCTGTGGTCATTAAAAATCCCATGGCACTTCTCGTAAAGAGTAGGGGTGTAACTCCGGTGTCCTGGCCAAATTGCCCCCCTGGCCTTTGTCAATCTATGACTTTCTCTCTGTAGATGGTGTGTGGTGAGCGCACTGGCGCCGTTGTCCTGTGGCTGCTGTCGCATCATCCAAGTGGATGCTGCACACTGGTGGTGGTTGAGGAGAAACCCCCCCACATGATTGTAAAGTGCTTTGGGTGCACAGCAATACACAATACAGCGC